ATCTTTCCATATGTTCCCAGTGTTGGAAATCATTGCGATAATTTACTGCAAAAGGATTGAAGCATGATTGAGAATATGATGATGAGGGCTGTTATTATTACTGAAAAACTTAAAATGGTCCTCACAAGAGGAAGCTATCATCAGGGGGCATGGTTTTGTGTGCTGCCTACATCCCGTGGATGGGACTTTGCTTGCTTGTGCAGCTCGGTTACTGGCATGCCGCAGCCTGGTACCGGTCCATGGACCGGCGGTTGGGGACCCCTGAGCTAGAGCCATAGACAGGAGTAGCAGAAGACTGTAAAGAAGGGGGAAGCCAAGCCAAGATCACAGATTTTTTTCCCTCTCCAAAAAGACGTTCACCTAACTCTTCTTTAGACAATGGCTCAATTCCCCCAAAGGAAGGCCCTATAATGAAGTCATTGCATGACTGTCATTAGCGCCTCACTGTATGTTTACAACTTTGCTGGTTGAACTGGAGTAAACCTATCCTAAGAATTTGCCCTCATGAATCAACAAATTTACATGTTGACAAGAAATGACACTCCCTTAGAGAGGAACTGGACTATGTTGGGAGATACGGAGACTGAGGATACAAATGATCCCCCAACCCCAGGCTTAACTATTGGAAATTCTAATGAATTATTAAGATTAAGTTTGTTAAGGTTAACAGGGATATGATAGCCCAATGGTTTCCATCAGAGGAAGAAACAATGTATTCTTCAACCCTCTGCAACTTAGGGGCATACCCAGACCCAACTAGCTCACCTGATAATAGAATGTTGATGCATATCACGATCTCACAGTTAAGCTCCAATCTTTTATAATAAAGGCAAAAGGCCATCTGATCAGGAAGGATCAAGAAATTGTTTGATCAATCTTGCATTTTCGTCAAAGCAGCACTACTGGGCTCCTGTACTACCTTGCTCCTTATTGGTATCAAGGTAGCTTTTGACAGCATCTCAAGGGTAAGACTTTGGGACATCCTGAGCAGATCCTCCATAGATAAAACATTCCTGCTCCCAGTTCATAAATTATACGATAAAACTGGGTTTTGAGTAAGATGCAACTGGGAAGGGGACCTTTCCGACTTTATCGAGTCCGTCAAGGGGGTGAAACAAGGATGAATCCTTGCACTGTTGCTTTTTAACAGAGTGGACCACCCCTGCTCCAAAACTAGCCAACACACATCTCCCAATTTTACTTTATGTTGATGATGCAGTTCACTTCTCCTTGTCTTTTGTAGGCATGAAGTGGGCACTGACAACCTGGGCATCCTACTGTAATGAGGATCACTTAATAATTAATTATGATAAATCTAAAGTGCTAGTCTTTTCTAACAAGAGACAAAAGTATAAATGGACAATTGATTCCCATGAACTGGAACAGGTCAAAAGCTTTTAAGTATTGGGCATAATATTTCAGACTTTGAAAAAATTAACAGCCCATGTAAATTATATCTTTTTTATTGCCCAAAAGAGTTCACAAGCAATAATTAAATTTCATGGGCAACAAGGGGCAAATTATATCCCAGCAGCAGTTAAATTGCCCAACTGTTATATGTTATATGACATACAAATCGGGTCATACATAAACCTGAAGACTTAGGAAGCAATTCAATCAAATTTTCTCAGGACCTTGTTTGACATCCCAAAATGCATCCCCAATGCAATACCAAGGCTCGAAACTAATGTGCCTAGTTTTAAGGCTCAGGCCTGGACTAGGAATCTAGTCTCAAAATCTCAGAATCATGTTTGAGCTACAGGCCTGATGCTTTTGCTGCTGTTAAACAATTATCAATCCCATTGGCACCATACTTGCATAGTGGAAAAATCTACAGTCTGGCCACTCTCCTAAGTATTTAGCCCAATTAACCTTGGAGAAGATCAAATCAATAGTAAAAGAGAGAACCAGACACACTGATTGACAAAATGATATCACCAGTGCCCCAAACCTATCGCCAATTATTAGGCAGTCACAAGCCCTCCATTGTGGGATACTTGTACAATTTAACACTAAGCAGATATAGATGGTCCTTTTCTAGAGCCCATTTTGATGCTCTCCCATCAACCTCACTAGAGGGAAGATTTCACGGGACCCTTTATTCACAGAGACTTTGCCCCTATGGTTCTAAGAAGGTAGAGGGCCTTGCAGATACAGTTTATGTTCATTAGATTTCAAGGGACACTAATCCTACACTTACACATCAAGTGGCCAATTGTTTTTACCAAGTCACACAACTGCAAAAGATTTTAATTAGACATGCTGTTTTATTGTCCCATATTTTTTCCTTCCCCTAACAACTAATTGTTGTGTTAAACCATTCCTTTTTACTGCAATAATAATAATAATAATAATAATAATAATAATAATAATAATAATAATAGTAGTAGTAGTAGTAGTAGTAGTAGTAGTAGTAGTAGTAGTAGTAGTAATAGTGTAAAGGCTGGTCAAAGACCATAATAAAGATATTTGATTTTAAGGAGAGGAGATAGAAATAATAACTGGAAAACAAAAAATAAAGAGTTAAATTAAGAAGGCTAATAAAAGGGGGAAATCAAGTCAAGAAAATTAAAACACTAAAAACCTAGAGTTGTTTAAATCAACAAATTCAAGCTAAGCAAGTTGCTGTAGTGTAGATCATGTAGTGTAGAATACAAAAATGGAAAACAACCAGAAAAGTCTCTAATTCAGGAAGGAAAACATGCAAATACAAGGAAACTCAAGAGAAGCAGATATTGCTAAACAAATCGAATACAGAGTTGTAGGGACAAACAAGAAAGCTTCATACAATCAGACACAGACAGTAAATATAGACTTTAGTAAATGTAATACACATTGATTCAATTGAATCTTCCTCTTTTAATAGCTATTCAATAAATATTGAGATTAAAGAAAATACTTGGCATTTACAATCGATCCCTAGCAAACTGACCTTTATTAACTATCCTGAACCTAGTAGTTTACAGACCCAGTTTGATAAAAACAAAATTGTTCATCTAATATCATCTTTAGATGCAACTGACTTCTCAACAAAATATATAAATAAAATTGAGTGTCTATTTTATAACTATATAAATGCCAGAGCAATCATGACTTCGGAAACTACAGCAATAGCTATTTCAGGTGATGAAGAAAAAGGGTGCGTTAAATACATTTTTGTTAGGGTTAACAAGAAACTTCCAAAATTAAACACTCAGTGAAATTTATAAAAACAACTGGAATTAATTAATGTTGGAAATACAAAGATCTGAGATTTCATATATATATGCCACAAGTGGAGGATATTGAACATACCAACCCGGCTAGGGATAGTGGAAAAACACAGCTGGTGAAAAGCCTAATTAACGCAGAAGTAAATCTCCCAATGATGTGTGTTATCAAAAGAAAGAGCTCTGGCAAAGCAATATACAGTAAACATGGTTAATGATCATGAAGGAAGTTATATAAATGGACATAATCTGGAACAACCAGTGATTCACAGAGTACCACAAAATCCATTGCCAGTTCAGAATGATAAGGCAATGAAGATAAATAGTGTAGGATACAAGATACTGCAGAAGTGCACAATACAAAGCAATCACAAATAGAATCGAACTTGAGATCCTTTAAGGAAGCATAGGATGCAATATACAAGTTTACACCAAATATCCCTGGGTTTAAAAATAATTATGTTTACAAAGATATTCAATTTTAAAATTTAAATGTAATAGAATATATGAAATGGCTAGAGGATGATGCAAATATTTTTTAAAAAAGAAGGGACCAGAGACTATCAGATATCATATTCCAACACAATAGCAGGAGTCTTTGCAACAGAATAAGGCAAAATAGTCAGGAGTTCCAAATCCAAAATGTGATTAATCAACAGAGTTGACAAAAAACTAACATGATGACTTCTATAATTAAATGTGCATCCTGGAATATTACTGGGTAAATGTATAGGTAGTATGTTTCTTTTTCATTTTCTACAAGATTATATGATTTTTCTCTAAGAAATTTAGTTGATAGGAAATAATCTGGTAGTGTTATCTAGCTACATGTGTTTTTATAAATAGGCCAAGAAGGACCAAAAAATGGGGTGTGCTAAAGGGAGTATAATGAGTCTAATGTTAGTTTATCTTGATATGAAAATAGAAGAAATGAATTCTGGAAATTATTATAAAGATGAAATTCAAATACTGGCTGAAATCTAAAGGGAGAATGTTAAGGTATCTGTTAGTATTTATATGCTACACAGACAACAGGTAAATTGGGATAACCTGGGTCATTGATATGTGTACCTAGAAATGTAGATTTAATTATGGGGATTTTAATGGTATAATTAGGCCAGGTTTGGAAATATTGAACTTAAAGATCAAAGACATTTTTGAAATGGAGGCAATTTTCTTTCTGGGTCATATGTCACATGATATGATCCAGAATAAGCACTGACTAGAACTACTTAAATTAATATATAAAGAAAAAAGAAGAAGTCATCTTTAGATGAATATAGCTGATTAAAAATGAAGAGTGGAACTAAAACAACCAAAACAAAACAAACCCTGAATTTAGAAGAAAAAGCAAAAACATTTATTTTAATCTACTGCATGTATAGAAGTACTAAAAGATAAGTGTAAACTCCAGAATATTCACTTTTAAAAATATTTGTGTTCACTGATGTACATTTAATGAACATGTTCACCAAATAGAGAATGGGAGTACATTTTCTTAATACTTAGAATTTGCTTTCCTATTTTCAGAAAGTAAGCTCTGTTCTGTAGTTGAAATCTAATAATAGAAGATGAATTTCCTAAAAATGAAAATAATAGCTTCATTTTATACCATCACAAAAGATGGAATGGTTTATATTTCTTTGCACCTGACACTTTTCTATGCTGACTTTTCCCCCAACCCACCCACACACACTATCTATTTCTGAATTCCCCTGCACCCCTTAATTATGTTTTTTCCCCCTTTCAAAGCTTTTCCTCCCTCAGGGAAAAAAACAACAACAACCCACAATGAAGTCTTCCCTTGTGCTGACAGTGCTGCTGTCCTTACTAGTGGCAAAGCTACGTCGTGGTTACTGTATTGAGTCTCTGGAGCAACAGATGCCCAGCGGAGTCCAAACAAAGGTGAGGCAAACTGAAATGTTATTGAATATATGGTGTGGCAGTTTGCTAAAGAACAACCCCCCCCCCCCACCTTCCTGTGCTCCGCTTTAAATCTACGTATAAAATCGTACTGGCATATTTAGGGAAGATGTCTCAGAGGGACTACAGAGTAAAATGTGTCTGCAAATGGAGAAAAACATACCTATATTCCTTGACATGATCACAATTGGGATCGGAATTTCTGTCACTAACAAGGCAGTTGTTAAGTGAGTTGTGCCCAATTTTACAACTTTTTTTTTTTTTGCCATGGTTGCCGTGGTTGTTAAGCAGGAGTTAAGTGAATCACAAGATTACATTATCCAACACCCCCAAAAATCTCCTCCCCCCCCAATGTCTCAAACTGCCAATTTGGGGCTGATTTTGGCATTTCCCCAAAATTTTAAGGTATTTGTTCAGGATGTTGAATAGGAATTCTTGAGGAAGCAGAAAAATCTTTGGATCAATGGTACTTAAAGCTGTAGGAAATAGTACTGGGAGAAATTAGCACAATAGCTAATTTCAAGCTAAGAACCTTGAAGTTAAGGAATAGGATAAGAAGAGATACAACAGTTGCTTTTGTTGCTTATAGCTTGTATTTTTCTTTTTCTGTTCAGTTATATCTGATTCTCAGAGACTGCCTGGACAAGTCCCTTCAGTTTTCTTGGCAAGGGTTTCCAGAAATAGCTTACTATTGCCACTTTTCTAGGGCTGAGAGAAAGTGACTGGTCACCCAGATGGCTTTGTGCTTAAGGCAGGACTAGAACTCACCATCTCCCAGTTTCTAGCCTGATGCCTTAACCTCAGCACCAAACTTTTTCTCACAGCCTGTATGTAACTGTCTTACATGATGGGTTTGTTGTTGTTGACCAGATAGTTAATCTTCCTGTTGCTTATGTTTTTTTGTTGTTCATCCTGAACTAAGTTAACAGATGTATTAACACAAATGTGTTGATGCCACCAGGTAATAGAATATCTAAGTTTGCCTTTTCTCGGTTCTTCCTCAGTTCATAGCTATATTTTAATTATTGGCTCCCTTGAGTCCCTCTGAACTGTTTTCCACATATCCTTGGAATGCTTCTCCTGTATGTCACTTTACCAAACTTTACCAAACTACAGAGATAGCTCATCAAACAGAGATTGGGGCCTCTTTTTCTAGGGGATTTTAGCAAGGGGATTTTTTTTAAAAAATGTGCCTCTTTCCATCCTGCAAAATCTGGTGGTGCAATCCGTTCTGAATTTCTGCAGTCTACAGGTAGTCCTTGACTTACGACCACAGTTGAGCCCAAAATTTCTGTTGCTAAGTGAGACAGTTGTTAAGTGAATTTTGCCCCATTTTATTACCTTCCTTGCCACAAATGCTAAGTGAATCACTGCAGTTGTTAGGTCAGTAACACGGTTGTTCAGTGAATCTGGCTTCCCCCTTGGCTTTGCTTGTCAGAAGGTTGCCAAAGGTGATCCTATGATCCCAGAACACACCAACCATCATAAATACATGCCAGTTGCCAAGCATCCGAATTTTGATCACATGACCATGGGGATGCTGCAGCGATTATGTGCAAAAAATGGTCATAAGTCATCTTTTTCAGTGTCATTGTAACCTCAAACAGTCACTAAACAGACTGCTGTAAGTCAAGGATTACCACTATCTTCTACGACATTCACAGACCACAGTTAAGGCCTGTCGTGCATTTATTGAATACAGTACTTCCTGGCAGAATAAGCTAAAACTCACATCAACTTTCTCTGTTCCAAATCTATAGAAGAGACTGTCATCTAATCTGATACAAAAGGGACATTCATTCGTAGATATAAAAAGAGGAAGTTCAATAGAGGATGAGGTACAATTTCCTTCTTCCTCCCATTTCGGTTAAAAAAAGGGGCTTTATGCATTTTAATTTGCTTTTGGGGGCAAGGCCTGCAAGGAGTCTTAAGTGGCTTCTTTTGTCAAATCCCTTTTGAATTAGATCCGTTGAGGATAAAAAGCTCTGAGAAATCCATTTCTGTCCTCTGCCATCATAATCTTTTCTTGTTGCTTCTGTGCAGTCCAAAATAGGACTCAAATTACCATAGCCTTACCGCTCTTAAAGCAATTCCTTATTTTTGGATGTTCTTGAAATTTGGACACACTTTGCTCTGTCCCCTCCTTCAAATTGCTTTACTTACAGCAGCCACCACCAAGTTAAAGTAGCGTTCTTTTCTTCTAGGCTGATTAACATATTGTATAAGGAGCGGTAATTGGCAGCTTTTTAAGTAAAAATCTGCTCTTACCTGGAATTACAATTGAATTGGCATCCGAAGGGAGAGATTTCATTAAGGTTTGCAGACATTACTTGTTTAGCTGGTATTGTCAGTATATTGGTAGCTACTTCTCAGAAAGCACAGTCAAAGATAGATGAAGAATCTTAACACTCACATGAAGTTTTCTACGGTAGGTCTAGAATTTGAGAAGTGGGGGGTTAGCTGTGGAAATTGGTGTTCTGTTCTCAGAATATTCGGTGAGGAGAGTTTTCTGGCAGAAATAGAGAAGTACTTTGTTACACTTCCTATTAAGCCAGGGACAAGTCAGTCAATTGCAGAGTTTTACACTGTCTAGGTTGACCAATTGATAGGTGATCAACCCACTTGGAAATTTAAAAAATGGCTGTGGAAACCTGGGTTTTGGTCTTTATCTTTAAGAGAGATAAAGGCTAGTTTCTTGGTTGCACTGACAAAATCATCGGGACCCAGGTTTCATGGACCATGTCATTTCAGATTACCCTTCCCATATATATCAATATATTGTCCCTCACTTGCACAGAGCATCTAGAAGTGGGATAGAGGGGAAAAAAACTTTCAGAGCTGTGGGTGGACAGGAAGATACAGGAAGTAAGTTGGAAACAAGTAAAGTTATTATGTGGATTATAGATTATAGAAATCAACTGTTAGTGAATGTTTCTTAAATGTAAACCCAGACAACACAGTGTTTACCAAATATTAACGTGATTATGTTAAAAAATTAATAAAACATATTTTAAGAAAAAGATACAGGAAGTAAGTGAAGTCCTCTGGAAATGTCTAGCAGACCATCTTTATCCTGCGGCAAAGAAATGATATCTTCAATTCATAGTATTGTGTGGAATTTGATTTTTGTAGCACTTGCCGTCAACCCTACTAGGGAGATCAAACTGGACCAGGAAATCATCTCTACAGGAAGGCTAAAACTACTTTTACTGAAATTGGCTATAATAACAGAACATTATAGGTCTGATTGTGCTATACCTTCTCCTCTTTATTGTTCAGTGAATTAGGGAGGCTTTGGGGAATAGGCTGGAGAGAAGCCTATTTAGTTAAGAAAATTTATATGGCCGTCAATCTCACTCTCAGTGACTCTGGGTGGCTTATAAGGATAAAAGCCCAATACAAAAACAAAAAGTAATACCCCTTCCCCAACAATCAAATGAGCCATTTGATGGGCTCCATTCCATTCTGGGGTCCCCAGGCCTGTTGGCAAAACCAGATCATTTAGGGCAGAGGCCCCCAAGGACTGTTTCTGTGGAGAGAGGGTTTTCCACGGACCAGAGGAGGCGTGGTTTTGTGTGCTGCTTGCATCCAGCGAATGGGGCTTCGCTTGTTTGCGCAGACTGGTTTTTGGCATGCTGTGGATCGGTGTTGGTGCACGGACCAGGGGTTGGGGTCCCCTACTTTAGGGCCTTATGAAAGAGTGCTGAAGTGGGGGCCAATTTAACTCTGTGGGGATAATGTTCCACAGGGAAGGAGCCACCACAGAGAAGGCCCTTCTTCTTGGCCGGCTAGATGGACCTCCTTAGGAGAGGGGATTCATAACATTCCTTGCCTCCATGCTCTGGTGGGTTGGGTAGATAAAACTAGGAAAAGATAGTCTTTCAGATAACCTGGTCCTAAGCCATGTAGGGCTTTGAAGTTAACAACCAGCAACTTGAACTGAAGACAAGACTCCTGTAATTTCCTGGAATGAGGATGGGGTTGTTTATTTAGCAACTACATAGTGGATTAATGAAGTTTACTATATATTTATTCTGCTGAACAAATGAAGCAAGATAGCATTTAGAATGTTTGGTTTTGCCTTTCATTGGACTGAGCCTCAAATAAGAAAGAGCTGAGAGGTTGCAGTAGGCATTTTCAGCTATGATTTTGCTACCTGCACGGTACAGATTATGAGGAATTATACTTTGAAAATACTTACATATTGAAAAGGGATGTGCCTAAGAGATGGGGTCAAGATGGAAATAGAATGTTGAGAACGGGGGAAATATTAGTTTATGTATTGCTATATCAACTTTGATATCATGTTGTTTTTTCATTTCAACAGACGAACCCAAATCTCTATAAGCTGCCACTATCCTTGCTCCGACGATTGTATGGTGGCCAAGGGATATCTTATGAGGCACTGCTCAGGCTATCAGGCAAAGAAGAAATCAGTAAGTAATCACTAAGAAAACAGCCTCAAAACAACTCAAGAATGTTTGATACGTTGAAAGGTTTTCGTCTATATTTTGAGTGTCAAGTCAGCCTTATAATAGCATCTAATATTCAGCAACAAGATAGCCTGTACATGTTTTTGAATGGAATGTGAGTATTCCCTTCACACCCTCAGATTAAATGAGGGAGAGATTTTCAGTGAAACCCAAAAATGTACAGCTAGACATTCAAAAAGTCACAGTAGAAACAGGTTAAAATGGTATTAATTTTCTCTGAGACGAGAGAATTCCACAAAGGATTTGTGAATATTTCTAATACTACAAAATGCAATGTGTATAACAAGATAATAAAATTCCTCTTGTTGTCTTAAAATCTTTATGACAGTGTCAACATTTTAATCCCTCAAATTTACAACTCATTTATTTCAATATATTCATGCTGAAGTCATAGATTGACGAACAGTGTACATATACAAGGGGCTATAATACAAAAAACAGGGAGAAAAATGATAAAATATAATAGATACATAGAGGCAAATGTATGGAAAAGGAATCCTTACTATTTCTAAAGGCTTAGTGTCCACCATATTAGTAATTTGACAAACAAATCTCACTACTTTTAAGGGTTTAATAAGGTTATTCCCTGCAACTTTAAATATATGTAATGTGTATATAATAGTACAGGTAGTCCTTGACTTTCAACCATTTGTTTAGTGACCGAAGTTACAGCAGCACTGAAAAAAGTGACTAATGACCGGTCTTCGCACTTAACGACCGTTGCAGTAGCCCCATGGCCGTGTGATCAACATTCAGGTGCTTGGCAACAGGGATGTATTTATAACAGTTGCACTGTCTCAGGATCAGTCGATCACCTTTTGTAGCTTTCTAGTCTGCTTCCAACAAGCAAAATCAATGGAGGAAGCCAGACTCACTTAATGACTGCATGACTTACTTAACAACTGCAGTGATTTGCTTCACAACTGTGGCAACAAAGGTAATAAAATGGAGCAAAACCCAATAACTAACAATCTGAATTGCTTTCTCCACACGTCATCCTTAGTGAAGCGTGCAAACCAGCGTCTGCATTTCCTGCGTCAGATGAGGAGAGCACATCTCTCTCCTTCTGTCCTGGCCGCTTTTTACAGAGGCACGATTGAGAGCGTTTTAACAAACTGCATCACTGTCTGGTTTGGTGGTAGCAGTGCCTCAGATAGAAAGTCCATGCAGAGAATGGTAAGGACAGCCGAGAAGATCATAGGAAGCTCACTCCCTCGTATTCAGGATGCTGCTTCTAATCTAAGCGCTATGTGCTTAGAGCTCAAAGCATTGTTAGAGACCTCACACACCCACTTTATGGTCTGTTTCTGTTGCTCCTCTCTGGGAGGAGGTTTCGAAGTATTTCTAGCAGGACTGTCCAATTCTGTAATAGTTTTGTTCCCCATGCCATCCATCTGGCAAACTCACAAGATTCGTTTCTCTCGCCATGCCCATGTATACAGAACCCGAACTAGACTGTTGTTTCTCTGTGTCATATAATATATGTGGATATATGCATAATTCGGTATGTATTTATTTATTTTTGTCATATTTATGTAGTGTATATCGGAGGTGGTGACCCTCTGAGAGCTGAATGCAACGAAATTTCATTTTAATGTATGCCGATTAATGTACATTCAAAGTGACAATAAAGTTATTCTATTTCTATTCTAATAACTGCCATGCTTAGCAACGGAAATTTTGAGTTCAATTGTGGCTGTAAGTCGAAGACTACCTGTACATGTTAACCCAGGAGGGGAGAGGTTAAAAATGGAGCATGTTTTTCAACTATACGTCATGTATTCCAAGAACTGGGTTTACTTTAAAAACTGTTTCTTCTATCTTAAAGAAGCTAAGCGTGGTTTGAGATCAGATAAATTGTATCAACTCAATCTGTTCAAAAGTAGCAAGTGAAATAAGAAAATGGAAATTGAGTAGAAGTGAAAAGATTTAGAATGGGAACAGAGTTTGGAAATTAAACAAAAATGTTGGAGAAAGGAACAGCAGAAAGAGAGAAAAGTGTATAAATGACAGAAGGAGACTGCATGTCTTTGTATGGTTGTGTGTTCATTAAGTTTGTAATTACATGTGACTTATAAAAAAAATCAATCCATATTAGATTTTGATGATTGGAGGAGGCGTGGATTTTTAAACAGAAAACCTGAACATAGTGATATATTTTCATGATAAATTGCAGTGTGTATCTATGTTCCATTCTTCATTAAAATGGGATATAGTTAGGGTTTTGGTGCATTTTAGCCTTCTGCTTTGTATTTTTTTTCTTCAGATCCCCAGACCCTTGCCTCTTCCCAGAAACGTAAGTTAATCAGTTGATCTCTGCAATCAGCACTGCTTTTTCTATGTTTCAGTCACTGACGGAATAAACTTTAGTAGTACAGGTCCATCACTGGAAAGGATAAGGTGGATCAGTCATGTAGTCGTAAGGTGAAGGCACATTTGAACTGAAGTCCCAAAGTGCTTTTTCAAGAGGCAACTGGATTCTCTTGTCCAGTTTGAATCCAAAGAAAGTCCAGTTGCTTCTTGAAAAAGTACTTTTGGAACAACCATGACCTGGATGACTGAGAATCTCCATAGACATTAGAATTGAAGAGAAAATTAGTTTGGCACTATTTTAAATGCACTCCTCTTTCAAAGCAAACCAGCTTTGTGCTATCTGCAGCCAGCTCTGAGTTTAGGGAATTTTTGTTTCACCTATTTCCCTTTTAAATTTAGCATTTACTGTGGTTGTTCATGGAGGTTAGGATTTCCAACCACATTACAGTTCTAGTGGAGAATTCAAGTCTGAGAATGACAGATGCAAGAATTTTTTCTAGTTCTTAGTTAGGTCCAATGGAGGATAATATAGAGAATAAGATATAAAGTTGAATAAAGAAGACATTAAGTCTGCCTAGTAAGCTTTAGTTCAGTGAGATTTTTAGATCATTAAATACATTTCTGATTTTCCAGTATACGAAAAAGACTTGTCTGCATAGCAAAATCCATTTTTGCTAGACGTTTTTGTATCTGTATGTCACAATTTAATGTACACATACAAAAATGCATATCTTAAGAAAAAAATTATATATGATATCTACTGAGTGTACATAGATCTGAATTTTACTATGAAAAGTATGAAAAAATGTTTGGAAAAAATGTTTCCACCCCCCCCCCCCAATTAACATTAATATTTGAACTGACTTTTTTGAGAAATGTGTGGGTTATGGGACTAAAAGTAATTTTCGGATTGAGTAGAATTACGAATCTCCCTTTGGATCCTTTGTCTCCCCAGCTACATCTCTAATATTATGTAAAATGTGAAGATGTTCAGGAAAGGAGATAGAAAAACATGACTGAGAATAGCTGTAGCCAGCATGGCTCCTGGATAAGTCAAGGGATTTTGACATCAGAACGTACCAACCAGGACAAAGGATTGGTTCTATTGTTGTTCTATTATTAAGTTACACTGAGTTCCATTCAGTTTATTTGCCTCTTCAAATGTTTAGGTTTACAGTATTAAAAACAAAATTAACCACCCCAACATAAAACAACTCTTTTGATTAAATGATTGAAATAATCTGCTTTCAGATAGTTATTTTATTGACTGAATTACCACAGAAGCTAAGATAGGATAGTAACAAGCCATGAGCCAAAAATGATTCAGACGGAGTCTCTGAGCGACTCTTATATTCAGCCCCTATACTTTGCCATGAAGTAAATATTCTACTTTGTTGATCAACAGTCGATTCTAGAAACTTATTTAATATAGATAAAAGTAGACTGTTATATACAAACATGCACTTATTACTATCATGCCACATTCAGAATTATCTCTGAAATTCAGAATGCAATAAATAAGCCTAACAGATGATTTACAAGTGCTACATTAACTCAAGACTGTTGCTTTTTTCCCAGTTTGTTGAAAACTGTTTTGTCTAATAAACTTAATATTTCCATAGGAGACATGCATGATTTCTTTGTTGGACTGATGGGCAAAAGGACCATAGAGCCGGGTAGGTGTGTTTGTGAACTGAGGATGCATACGCCTCCTTAAGGGTCCTTTGTGAGTAGAATAGAACAGAACAGAATTCTTTATTGGCCAAGTGTGATTGGGCACACAAATGTCCAAAGTGAAAAAGTGAAAAGTGAGGCACAAGCAATCCCAGCATATCTTCTACCTGCTCATCTGATCTCTGTCCTTTCTCTAGCTGTGGAGGTGGTTGTTGATAAGCAGAGGAGGGGCTGTGGTCCTCATTTAGGGACAGGAAGCTGGATCAGACAGGCTTTTCGTCTGATCTAGTGGCAAAGCCTGTCTTACATTCCAAATTAAATTCAGAAGAATATCAGAAGAAAATCCATGTACTTATGGTGGTTATTTAAATAATGAAATAGAAACGCCGCTGAGTCACATCATAATTCAAAAGATACATAAGAAAGTAAACAGTACCCTATTACATACTTCCAGAAAAGAGAGAGGGACAGTCTTTGTCCCCAAATGCATATGTAGCCACTCTAGCATTTCCACAGTCCTGGAGCTCCCTTCAATTGCCAAATTTAATTTCCTATTGATTTGAGGGAATATTAATGTAATACAGTGTAATGTTTATTTCACCCAAAGACTATATAAAATACTGTATAGTAGACCGCCTGTGTGTGTGTGTGTGTGTGTGTGTGTGTGTGCGTGCGTGTATGTGTGTGTGTGTGTGTGTGTGTGTGTGTGTGTATATATATATATATATATATATATATATATATACTGTATACACACACACACACACACAGTGCTTTTTTTCTAAAAAAAAAAAAGGTGCCGGAACTCACACATGTCATACAACCCGCCTTGCTTACCCTACAAGGTTCCATCCAATCAGTATGAGGCATTCTATCGCTTTATGTTATTTTCATATTAAAACTTTCATCCGCCCAAAATCTTCTAAGTGCAATTTACAACAACCAAAAGCATCTGCAGGGGAAAAGGACAAAATTAATGAAAGTGCGTTGCCATATTGTGATTCAAATTTTGCCCCTTATGTACTTGTGACATTCAGTACAAACATGACAAAATGAAGCCTGCATTGTTATATCATGATGCATATTCTTATCGTTTAGGTGTCCTCCTTATTAGGAATGGCTATCTCTGCCGACCACCACAAGATTACTGTAATCATTATGGAAATTTGATATTCCTACATCTTTTCTCAATTACATTTTATGCTGTACTATAAGAAGAAAAGCCTCTTCTCTTTTCCCCTTCTTTCATGGCAATTTTTGGTCATTAGAAAAGGGCAAACCTAATTCTGTATTTTTTTCCCTTCTTGTTCCTTCAGTTTTGAACTTTCCTTCTTGCTTTAACCTTACCTCTCCCTATTATCAAAGTTAAGCAATCAGGTACAGAACTCTTTGCTTGTGTTCTCTATCAGCCATATGAAAAACCGTACCGAATAGGGTTTCCATCAAACTGATGGGAGCTAAATGCTTCAGCTCGAAACCAGCTTTCCTTATACTTTAATTCTAGATAATTCCATGGAACTCAGTAAGGAAACATTCCCTGGCTTGAGTGACATAAACTACTCACCAAATGCAGAATGAGGTAAGGAAAGAGGGGTCAAAACTCAAAACTTTTAAATGGGTTAAAAAGAGAAATTCTTCAACAGTTTTCATAGATTTTAACTCTTTACAAGATTTTAAACATGCAAGCAATTTCACATATGGTAAAAGCACACACAAGCATTCATACAATTTCTTATATATATTTGTATGAAGCAGATAGGAACAGAGTGTGACTGTGATATTAGCGGTCTTCCGTCATTTTTTTTAGGGTAAGTTAGATGAACACTGCAGATGCAGCAAATCTGGTAAGTAACCTGCCAGCGAGCAAAGTCTAGAGGCAGTGAATTTTCTAAAGCTGAAATAGGCAAATTTGTAAATAAAAATATTTGTAAAATGTAAAAATATTTTAATGGTTTCTGCCTAGAGTCAAATTACAAGTCTAATTCTGATGTAGCCTTTCAAACATCCACATGACCACAAGATGGCATCACATTCAAGCAGTTTTCTCTATATCAGTGGTGGCGAACCTATGGCACGGGTGCCAGAGGCGGCACTCAGAGCCCTCTCTGTGGGCACACGCGTCGTTGCCCCAGTCCTAGGCCTTCAGCTGGGTTTTATAAAACCTTTTCGCTTTAGGCTTCTGCTGCCGTGTGCAAAAAAAAAAGATTCAATCAATCAATCAATTTCAACTTCTCACGGGAAAAAAAAAGTTCTTGCAAAGTTGGAATTGATTGATTGAACTTTTTAGTCCCACCCAGTCTGCCGTTAGCACTGCAGCCACGCCCACCCAATGGGCCTCACCCACCCGGCACTCGACGATGCATAAGTGGGTTTTGGGTTGCAGTTTGGGCACTCGGTCCCTAAAAGGTTCGCCATCACTGCTCTATATCTTCCATCTGGATTTTTGTCACCCAAATAGGGTAGGCTATGGTGAAATTTGTATGCTTGTTCTTCTGTCAAACTTACCTTCACTTTTGGAAGAAACATGGAATTATATCCAGAAATTTGGACTGTGCCCAGTGCCAGTTTACTGTGCTCTTTATACTTCCCTGAGCAATGAGTGGTTCCAGGGGTAAGCTATTCAGGCTCAATGAGAAAACATTAGAGACTGATGAAGTCTTTGTAAAAATCACTTAATTTAAAAAAAAGTAACAATAGGGAAGCAAAGCAAACAGACACCAGGGGAAGACAACTTGGATAGCGTACATACAGTCTATATCATTTTTAGATTGGGAGCCACCCAGAGTTTGTCGTAAGACGGGCAGCTATATAAATGTTTTAATTCAATGGGTAAAATTAAGCATAGGCTGCATTCTCTATCAGTTTCCAACATTTTCTTCCCACACATTCTTCTATTTCCTTCCCTGCTGGAATGTATATCATATTCTGCAAGCTGCATTTAATATGCACTGAAGTAAAAATATTTTCTTTGCCCTTTGGGAAACCAGTTTCTAGCCTACTGCTAAAACATTAGTTGATCTTCATTACTAGTGATCCTCATGTATGTAACTAAAAACAGTCTTACCAATTCTCAGTGGTTTCAACCCTGAGATGTTAAATATTAGATCCGATGAAAATAGTTGGCTGTAACTCCTATTGATGTTTCTTAGATAATTGCTTAGATATTTCTCACTGGAACTGTAAGCAGACATCTGATCTGCTTTGCCTGAGTCCCCAATACAATATATCCTTGGAAATTTAGCAGTGCTTCATCAGTGATGATGAATTCATCTTGTAGTAAGTTCAGCTTTGCTGATGTCAAGTTAACATTACACAGAATTGTGGGGCGGTGTTTTCCTTCAGATCCATCAAATTAAAATACCTGTGATGCATTTTAAGACAAAGGAAAATCAAATTATTTTGGAATCCATAGATGATTTAAAATGATCACACTTGCTGCTTTCCAGTAATGGTCTCTATACATCTTTTAGGCTGGTATCTATAAAATCAAATCCATGAATGAACAAAATTTCCCTAATCTCAAGTACAGTTTAGGTCAAATTAGGTTTTATTTGTAAATAACTTTCAAAGCCGATCATTCCAGATAGTGCTCTGCTTGATTTATTTATCATATTTATTTCTTGTAATGTCATGTAGCTATGCTCAGTGTGTATGCACATTTGCTAAACCATTGTGTATTTTATTATTTTTTTAAGTTTTGCCACAGTGTGTCCTCCAATACAGCTTGGTACATAGCAGCACAGTTTCAGCCCAGGCAGCCTGCATCTTCCTGAAATCCTCGCAGGAAGCTCTTCAAGGTTACCTCACAGTTGTTAGTATTGAAGAGTTATTAAGTATATGAGAAATAATTATTCCCATTATTAATAAGCATTGATAAATTAAAATGACAATATAGTTTTTCTCATGACACATCCAGTTTTTGCTTTTGGCCTTAGCGTGCTACTCAAAGGACAGGTGAACTCCTTATCCTAAAAATGCCTATGACTCTCCAGTCATAAATAAACCGAGCAGGTTTTCCTATGTGTCAGTTCAACAAAATATCATTTAAAAAACCCTCTGTCCTATACAGGTACGCGCAGAACAGAAAATAACCTAGAACATAACTATTGTGTTAGGTGAGTTCTAAGGAACTATTTCAGAGCAGATACTGTTTGGTAGAACTGAACATAGATAGTTCAAAGGTAGACCTTAGTTCTGGATTTGGGACAAAACAAATTCTGGACAGGTGAGAGTTTGGGCAACCTGATGCACCTCACCCTCTTTCCCCTCAGCAGTTTTCTGTGCAGCATTTTGCCCCAGGATTCCTGCCATCCCTTCTTTCCAATGCATTCCCTTCACTATCACCACTGCTGTTATGCTCCAGGGTAGTATATAGCACCAGCCTGCTCCCTCCTTCCCATCTTCCCAGCATCTTCGCTTCCTTCCCTCAACCATTAATGTTCTGAGCATTTTCACCATTCCCAATTCCAAAATATTTTTGTTCAGATACAACCCTCTTCCCTTTCCAATTTGTTTATGGATCAACACAATTGTAACCTACATGTTTCAATTTGGGCACAGGCTACCTCAAAACAACTGTTTGATGCACAAAATGGCTCTTGCACTTAATTTTTTTTTTTGAACATCCTAAATGTCTTAACTTTATATGCGAATGCAACCTTGTTCTCTTTGGTCTGGTTTATTATTATGTCAAAAGAACCCTTCCATCTGTTTGAATCCCTATCTACCTAATCTTCTGTGACTAAGTTTTTTTAACAGACAACTGCACTGTGTATTGACTCACCTTACTAGTTTTTGCTTAATCTTTTCTTGTACAGGTTTCATGCAAGAGTGAGGACAAGCAAAAAGTCTGCAAGACTGCAAGAAACCAACACAAATTAGATTTCATCCACCAAAGCCCAGTACACTTTCAGCCAAACCAGAAACTTTGATGTACCATGGAGCTTCTTCATCTCCTCCCATGTTCTTTTCCTTAATTATGCTCTAATTCCAGCCTATAACTGATTGTAATGCTTTAGTGTTCACTGTTTGAATATTTTGACAATTATCCCTAGTCCTCATGGTGCTTTCTCTCCCTGTATACATATGTGACTTGAATCTTGCAGAATCTCTTCCATGTAAAACCATCCTTCTGCGCATCTTTTTGTGGCACAGATTAAGAACACCTCAGTCTTCTATATTAACAGGGTTTTTACTTATGACCTGCCACTGTGTGCGTCTCATTCTTTGTTTGATATTTCAGATGACTGCTGTCATTATTGGAGAGGGGGACACTATTTTGACAAAATCAGCAAACCAACACATTTACAAAATGGCACAAGTTACTGGCACAATGTACAGTAGATATCCAAATCTGGCTGTTGTTTGGGAGATCATGGTTTAGGATTCTGTTACATTTTTGCATTGGAGGCCCTATGGCGTTGCTTGTGCCATACAAGGTGCTTTTTCAAGAGGCAACTGGACTTCTTTTGTTTTTTCCTTGAAGACATTTCGCTTCTCATTCAAGAAGTTTCTTCATTGAAGTGAAGCGTCTTCAAGGAAAAACAAAGAAAGTCCAGTTGCCTCTTGGAAAAAGCACCTTTGGGACAACCATGATCTGGATGACTGAGAATCTCCATAGACATTGTGCCATGGATGTACAAAAGGCCACATTCATACACAGTCCCAAAGCATCCTACCACTATCCTAAGACCTTTGGAAACTGCCGATTTACAGAATAAGTACTAAATTAGATTTGATGGAATATTGAGCTGACATAGCATAAGGCAGGTATATAGGTCTGATAATACACAGATGATCTGGGCAACTCCCCCAAAAGTCATCTTTCAAAATGTGGCTCTTCTAAGTTGGAAACAGAACTACAAGTTTACAAACATATAAAACATATAGGCCAGTGGCGGTATCCTGTGCTAGTTGAACTTTCAACTCAACAAGGAAAATTCTATGCACAGCTTATTAGAGTTATCAAATCCAATGATTTTAGAAAGAAAGTGAAAGCCTAAAACTCTAAACAATAGTGGCATACCCTCTATTCTGTAAATAAGATCTATCTACCTTTTCTATTTACCCATCTAAAGAAATGTATGTGTCTTACTGGACAGACCGAGATCTAGGTAACCTCTTAGCAAGAATCCAAACTAGAAATCGTTAATCCATGAGGTTTTTGCACGTAACACCCATATTTCTAAGTTTGCCACTCCTTAGCATCACCTTT